GGACGAGCGCACCACACGGCCATGTGAATGAGGAAGTAAAGAGGCACCTGTTCCGCCCGCCTGAGCAGCATATGCAGGTTCACAGGCCTGGGAAGGCGAGCAGGGAGGTCCAGGCACTCAACCAGCTTGTTGAAGCCAGGGGAGGATGGCGGGAAGGCTGAGAGCACACGGGAGAACAGATGGCTGACGGGGCGGTAGGCAAAGTTGGCGACGAGAGCAGCTATGAGAGCAGATTGTATGAATTCTTCAGAGCAGGTGCTGCACTGGGTGCATGCCGGAGGGTCCATGATATGCCCGGCAAACCCCACCAGGAAGTCCACGTCTGCCTTGCAGCGAACAATGGGAAGCTTCCTTCTGGGCGGCGGTAGTATTGTCGATCTCAGCTCGGCGGCTTGAAGGGCGGCAGCTCGCCCACGCGCTCTCCTCTGTATGGCTTCCTCCCAAGCTCCTTGCCCTATTGCCTTTGAGACTCTCCTCCTTGCACTCCTGCTGCCACCCCCTGCTTCAGCTATCCCATGCGCTATGCTCCGTTCACCTTCCTGACTACCTCCTTGGCATTCTGAATTGGATCCTTTTTCCTTTGCACGCCTGCTGCCCCCTCCTGCTTCAGATGTGTGCTGAGGAGGATGCTGGGTCAGCTTCTCAGCTGCTTCACCACGCTCCTCCACAATCCCAAGCCCAACGCACCTCTCCTTTCGGTTGACAGGAAACTTCACAGCAGCTTCGTCGCCCCCAGACCACTCCTCCCACTCTAAAAAATTGCTGCTTCCCTCCAGAGGCTTGGGGATGGCACCAAACCTGACCAACAGCTTCGGAAGGTCCCGAAGTGGATGGCGCATGGGCCGGACCTTTCTCTGAGAGTCGTCCTTGAAGCACCATTTCTCCGAGATGGAATCTGAGCCGTAGACTTGGACCCACTGCAATATGCAACCAACCCGATAGGTGAGTGCAGCAACAACAGAGCCTTTATTGACAGGCACGAGTACAGCATTCATATCAGCGCTTGCAGCACCAGCAGCAGCAGCAGCAGCAGCAGCAGCAGGCGGGGTTCTTCCTACATCTGCTGCTGCCACTCCATTCATCCCCCTTGTCTGCTTCAAGCCATGCTGCAACAGCCTCTTCCTGGCCACCTGAATAGCTGCACTCTCTACCTGCATCTTGCTCACATTGTTCCCATCAAGGAAGTACAGCCTTCCACCCTTCCAGTGCTCTGGTTTCGACAATACTGCGGTGACAGCAAGGGCGAAATCGGTCGCATTTACACCAGTCACATGCATACCCCTCGGGGCACTGCTGCTCTTACTGCTGCTGCCAGAAATGCTGACGCTGCTGCTGCTGCTGCTGCTGCTTCTTCTGCCATTTTCATTGCCACCACTGCTGCTGCTGCTGCTGCTGCTGCTGCTGCTGCTGCTGCACCCCTCACTGCAGTGGCTGCATCTAAACTCCCTCCCTTTTCCCCCTCCATGCTCCAGGATCCAAGCCATGCCATCCACATACCTCTCCCACACACGCCCCTTCAAATGCTCCCTCCAACTAAAGTCCGTTCTAACCCTCGCGCACTTGCTAGCAACCCCTTCAATTTCTACCTTGCTCTCTGCCTCTGCCTCTCCGTGTCTTCCATCGTCCTTCCCGTGTGAAACCTCCCATCTGCCCTTCCCCTCCCCATGCGTCTTCCCAGCGGCCTTCCCCTCAGCTTCCCCCTTCCGCTTCACTTCCTTATCCACCTTCTCATCAGTCTTTCCCCCAGCTCCCCCCCTCCTTGCCGCATGCGCCTTCTCCAGCCCGCCTGACAGCAATTGCTGCACAAAGAACCCAAACCCTTCCTGTAGATCAGCACTCTCCTTCACCCCCAGCACCTGCACCAGCATGGAAGCAAAGCTGTCACTCTCCCTCTGCCTGCTCGCCCCCAGCTCAGTGGCGATTGCTGGCCAGGCCGACGAATGCAAGACCAAGTGTGCTTTCCATAAAGTCACAAGGCGGGGGGATCTTGCCACAAGCACAAGGAACGTTGAGAAGCTGACAGCGCGGCGGTAAGCAGCCCAGCAGCTGCTGCAGCGCCAGCAGCAGGACCACACTGTAGAAGCCGAAGAGGCAGGACGAGCAGCAGCAGAGGCAGCAACAGGGGCAGCAGGAGCAGGAGACGAGACATCAGCAGTTAGAGCAGCTGTTGTAGCATCCAAAATAGCAGGCAGGCGAGATCTGATTTTTCCCAGGTCCATGAGCACACCCACACGAGGCTCAGCCATCCACTCGAGAAACATCCCTTCTGCGCAAAGGCGAGGCGCCCTCTCTGCCTTCCACGCAAACTGCTCCTGAGAAAATATCTCATGATGCTGCTGCTGCTTGGGATCTGCTGCGGGGATGCAACGAGGCTGCAGATTGCGCAGGTGGTAACGCAAGTCCTCCGGGTTTCTGATGGCAAGAGATTGATGTGCTTGCTGGCTCACGGCACGGTCAAAGCAGCACTCGCACAGATCCGCATCGCACCCATTCGTGACTTCTATGTAGTGAACCATGTCTGCACGAGACAGCAGCTGATACATTTTTGGACTTTCCTCCGCTCTTGCTTTCTCTGCTGGCCCTCCGTTGTCCTCATCAGGCTGATCTAGTATTCTCTGGCCAATCTGGACTGCAGCAGAACGGAGTTCCCTCTGCAGCATCTCGAAAGTCTTCATCTGCTCTTCCAACTTCTGAACAGATTGTAACAAGCATGTCTTTCGCATTACGTCTTTCCCGTCTTCTTGCACTCCTGCTTGGTCTGCTGCCTGTCCGTTTGCCCCATCAAACTGTCTCAGTCTACTCAACTCCTTCAGTACCCGGTTCAATGCATCAACACCCTTTAACTGCTCTTCCAACTTCTGAAAGGACTGCACCAAGCGTTTCACACTCCCGACGCTTTCCCCTTCTTCATCTTCCTTTTCCTTGCAGCTGTCGGAATCAGAATTAAGGCACTTCAGCCCTGTTCCGCCAGCCCCTATCGAGGTTCCCCTCTTCGGCCTGTGCTCGTCGCCTTCCATGCTGCTGGGCTCGATAGGGTCCAATTGGATGGTAAACGTAGCAGCAGGATTAGTAAGAAGAAGAGAACCAGAAACTGCAGTTGCAGATGCAAGAGTTGGAGGATTCCCGAATTGCTCAACTTTCTCGTCACCTTTACCTCTTCGATCTCGAAATGCTTTTTTAAAGGACACCACATTGATGGTTGTACCCGGGCTAAGCCTGGCTTGCGCAACGGTCAAGTCAGGAGAAAGGCACTCTTGCTGCCCAACAGCCATGAAACGAACTTGTTGCTTTCGATCTTCTTGCTCCACCGATTTTAACCCAACTTGACCTCCCTGCTGCTGACGTGCCGCGGATGGTGGCAGGTGAGACTGAAGCAAACGGTTGAAAACCGATAAGAGAAGCTCGCCAGGAGCAACAGTAAGTAAAACGTCCACGTGTGATGCAATCGGCTCAGATCCAAAGCTATTGTTATTCAAGTGATCGTCATCATCCGTGAAGCATCCTGCTGGCTTGCCACTTCCATTGGAACGGCCGTAAGATCCACAGCTCGTCAAACCGGCTGGGATTCTGAAATTAACCTCAAAAGCCATGTCGGGATGCTGCAAGAGCCTTAACTGATTCGCTTAGTATAATCGGCTGACGCCAGCCACAACTACCTTCACTCGGATTCAGATAAGGCGGAAAGGCTCTCTCGGTTGATGACTTGAGTCCAACGAGACTCTGTGATCGCCGAGTAAGCTGTGACCGCGGAAATCAATGAAATATTTTTCAACGCAACCGATTCATACGACGCTGTGCGTCGCTTTCCCGTTGCCGTGCCATGCGAAGCTTCTGCAATTGTGACCATCGTTCTAAACATCCAATCATGTTCAGTCGTATGGGATAGATAAGTGCGTGACAGTTCAAACTTTATCGCATATGCTGCTGACATCCCAGGGCCGTCGATGCGTCGTCTGAACACGTTGGATGTTGCCATCTAAACGGGAAACCAAGTCCAATAAAAAATGTGACTGGAAAGCGTGATTCAACCGTCCGATTTCGCACAAGACTAATAGAATGTGCAAAATATATTCCAACGAGGTGCCTGATGATGTAACCTAGATCGTCTCGAGAGGACCTAGATTGTTGTTCTGGGACCAGCTCTGTTGTCATGGCTGAAACACAATTCTGTGATGAGACAGACCCGTCGAAGAGAAATTTCGGCAATTTGCGCGGGGCGAAAGCAAGCGAAGTGACGAGGAACTTCAACGATCGCCACACAAAAATCGTTCATCCTTGATTGTGACGATTGACACTACCAAAACTTATATGTGTATGTATTTCAGGCTCATAACAGGTTCTCTATAGTACCGGTACAACTTCAACTATTATCTTTTAAACGCAGCATGTAAATAATAGCATCAATGACATCATTCAACACGTTGCCATTAAAGAAAAAAAATCGTTTCGAACCAATATGACCTTATGTCTCTGACTCCGGTGAAAAAACTCGGGCTCAATCGTATCATCATCTGCCTCATCGTGTTAAGCATGGGGCATGGAGTGACAGCATATCAGATGGTTGTGGGAGTGAGAGAGTGGTGGTGCCTGAAGGTGCAACAGCAGACAGTGGGTGGTGTAGGTAATGTAGGAGGGAGGGAGAGGTGCTGGCTGAAATTGCGAAGGCTATGGTGCTGCTCCATGAGTGGGATAATCGAGATGCTGATCGGAGGGTGAAGGCGGGAAGAGGACCTGAGACGGGGAGGCACACGGTGAATAGCAAGAAGGGGGGAGAGTTGAAAGAGGGTGCGATGGGGATAAGACTTGGCCACGGCACGATGGCATCATTCAGTCTGGCGTCATTCAACCTATCACAGATCAGCCTCTAGCATGTCACGACTAGAAAAAAACTGTAACACAAAGGAATCAACTGAGAATCACCTGAGAGCATGGCCATAGGGCACCCAGCCTGGCCCAGGTGGGTTCGTAATCACAAGGACTTCCCACAAGCATGCATGCACCTGTTTACCCCGTAGATGCTCGTCCGAAACCGCCTCCGAAACCAAGCAGCCCCGCCCTCGCCTCAGCAGCTCGCAGGTTGCTCGCGTCAGCGCTGACTGCCCTGAAGAGCTCCGAGTGCCCTGAGCAGCCTGCAAGTTGCGTGTGAACAGTGCTATCGAGGCACGAATGCTTGGCCACGAGCGGTGTGGGAGAAGCAGGTGCACAGCTGAGGGTGGAAGGGTGGTGACGGAGGGGAGCGGGGTGAGAGCGTAAACAGCAGAGTGGCGTATGAGAGAGATGTGGGAGCCAGTCAGTGATAAGGCCTGGAGTCAATGGGCTAGAAGACGCAGCTGTTGAATGATTTCTCTTTGCCTGTATTCCACAGGTTATGCCATACCAAGACCATACGATTGAACACTGCAAGGCAGGTGGTAAGGAGAGCATTGACTTGGGCAACCAACTGGTCAAGAGCGGGGGGGAGAGAGTGTGGGAAGGAAGGAGGCGCGGGGTATGGGAAGGGGTCTGAAAGCAGGGCAGGCATGAGCACACGATTACATTGTCCGCACCAAGGCACATTAGCTGAGTGCGAGAGGGAGAAGAACGGGGAAGAAGGACGGAGGTGGGACGGAGAGGGAGGATAACGCAAGGCAGCAACAATCATTTGTTACTCTACTACACGTGGCATATGACATTCATACTCCACATAGTGAATGACCACGCCACCTACTTGTTACTTGAAATGTAATCTCTAGAGGAAAACGAAAGTCCACCCATGAGGAGAATCTATCGCCACTGAAAGCTTACATGGGCATGAGCTCATATGGGGATGGAATAAGCATGATCATGGGCATAGGCTCGGCCCTGATCGGGCCGGGACAAGCTGGCCCCATAGGCACGCCGGGCTCTAACCAAAGGTCGGCATATGAGCTGGGGTGGGGCCGTCCGTGGCCTGTCCCTGCTCGCATCCACACTCACCTTTATTGTGCTCGGCGCCCGCACCCGCTCTCATGTAAGGGTTGGCCATGCAACTGCAAAGCACTTGGCCGAAAAGTGGGCACTTTGGAGAGTCTCGATATGTCAAAACTTTGGCCCCAAATTTGTAAACTAATCAAACAGGCCCGCTTTTCATCGACTGCAAAGCACTTGGTCACTTGAGACCCTGGCTTTAATTTTGTTGGGTTCGTTTTCGCCAAAGCCAATGACGTCGAACCAGCAAGCGCCCATCACGATCGCACTTACGACACTCGCCAGGCTCGCCAAGGCCCCCCCAAAGCTTTGCCGTGTCCGTTCGACGGGGCGGGTTGGTGGAAGGCTTGATGGCGGAAGGAAGTCTTGAGCTTCCCAGAAACGCTAAGGGCGTGTGTGGTCTTCGAAATTTGTAAAAGCCTTTTTATGTTTTTAGGACGAATTTTGCGAAACGAACTTATGTCGAACGAAAGTCGACTTCCCTTGTATCGAAGTTCGAACATCAGGTCTACAACACAGTAAAATAGCACACACACATACAAGGTCGAACCCCAACATTCGAACATGAAAAAAACGCGCCGAGCCGCACGTCTACAGTGTAGGTTACCCGGTTCGTTACAATATAGGTTACCAGCACGAACAGGGCCACGTGGCTACCACTCATCGCACTGAATCGTGGAGTAACTTTGTTGTGCCATTTCAGCCACTCACGAAGCGGTCACTCGTTTCGCCTGCGTTTCGCTCATTTTGCGTTTCAATACACACGCTCGAATAAACGTTCGCACGCACGTTCACGATTCCAACTCGATTCAAATTTGGATTTCGAACTCAAACTTTTACGTGCCCCATAATATACTGGTTTCGCCAATTTGCTTAGGCAAATTTTGCGAAACACGTAACCATCCAAAGTTCGAACTTTTTTCTGAACTTTCAAACAGATCACACACGCCCTAAAATCTGCGAGCAACGAAGCAACCAGTACTTCTGAGTTCCCATGGACGACACCAATCTCCACCGAATGAAGCCAGTAAAGCTTTCAAAGTTCCGCCGAGTCTCCAGCGCACAACCCGTTGTTAGGAATACGACGGCTAGCACAATTAACCTTCTGCCAGACGATCTCCTCGTCAAGATAATATGGTGTCCCGAGTCGGTTTCTAGCCAACTTGAAGTCAGTTATCCCGGGGCCTCCGTGTCACCTAGGCCGACGTACACCTCCGAAAAGCCGTATGGTGATGAATCGCTTTTGTCTACCCCTCCTTCCTCCGCAGACGCCGCGTTTAACCTTCTTATCGCATCCGTCTGCCGCAGTTGGCGTAATCTCGCTCGAAATCACGTCTCCACGTTGCTCATGAAGGATTGCCAGGTTGTTTCTCTGCGTGACCTAACCGCCGCTGTCAAGTGTTTCCCGAACCTCACCCATGTGCATCTGAGCGACAACAGCGTCGAGACCATCGACGACGCTTTCCTCGCTCTCCTCGATTCATCGAGTCCTAAGTTGATGGCTCTCCATATGGGAAAGGAGATAACACAGAGTAGCGGATCATCCCATAGGAAGGCTGAGCATCCGGTGACCGAAGCAGGCTTGGCTCGACTCTTTCGTCGCTGCACCCAACTGCAGCACGTGTCGCTCTACTGCCTGCATCAAAACGCCAAGCTCCCATCAAGTTTCTCTCGGCTGAACAATCTTCACACTCTAGCTCTGTCCAATAACTCGGCTCAGGAGGCTCCCAGCTTTACCAACCTGTATTTTCTCGCATCTCTCTCTGTAGAGAAGGGTGTCAATTATCCCAATCGGCTACAGATATCGGGCCTTACTTCTCTCTCAAGACTCAACAGTCTCTCCTGGTGCAATGACGCATGGGTGACGCCTTTCCCGATCGCGCAACTTTCATGTCTTAAGTCGCTGGAGTTGGAAGCGGGAAGTCTGCGGTTCAACCTCATGTTTTCGCTGGATCAGCCATGCAGCAGCCTGAAAAAACTGTTTCTTGGCAAGAGCTTTGAGATCCAGAGTCTTCCTGACGACATTGGAGTGCTGCTGCCATGTCTCCGGGAGCTGACCATTAGAGATTGCAAATCTCTCGCAAATCTGCCTGACGGGTTCACTTCGCTCAGCTCCTTGCAGAGGTTGACAATCTCCCGGGGCAAGATGACCAGCCTGCGTGGAACCTTTGGAGGGCTACCCGCACTGACATTTTTGTCGCTAGCTCACGCATCTCCCAGATTCGTTCCGCCTCCTCACTGCTCTCAAGATTCTGAATCTGCTTGACTGTGAATCTCTCAGCGAACTACCTCCAAGTCTTGGCAATTTAACAGCACTCGAGTCCCTCAGCATCGTCAACTCTCCACCCTTGATGTTTTCAGAAGGCATTGGAGATCTGACCAACCTTAAGAGTTTCCACCTGAATGAAGTTTCCACCTGGAGATACTCCGAGCTTCCATCATCACTCACACGGCTTTCCTCACTCACAAGCCTTCAGATCTTTCAGAGCGTCCTAAGCTGGCTTCCACAGCGCATGAGGAAGCTGAGTCAACTGCGTGTGTTAAATCTCCTGCCCGTTTCGGATTGCTACCAGCTCCCAGACTCCGTCACCGACCTTGTGAACCTCGAGATATTGAAAGCTGACGACCTTATTTCAATGCCCAGGAGTTTGAGCAGCCTTGTAAGACTGAAAGAGTTGATGCTGAGCAAATGCCTTCAGCTGCCAGAAGATCTAACGACGGTGCCACCATCACTCGAGGCACTAAGCTTGGGGAGCCACCAGCTGCTCATTCCCATGCTGGAAATCCCTCCATTGCCTAGGCCCACGAAACTGACCTTGACAAGTGTTGGCATGCTGCGTGACCTTGACAAGTGTTGCCGCCTAGCGATGCAGAGGATCTCCCATTGCCACTAGCAGCCATACCCAACATCCGCACCTTGACAATTCGGAATGCTGGACGCATGTTCATTCTTTCGGATGAGGTTGGATCCCTGCGGCAGCTGAGGAAGCTGTGCATAGAAAAGGCTGAACGAATGGGAATGATACCGGGGATTGCGCAGTTACAGTGGCTGACGTCCATCGAGATCCATGCTCCCAATCTTTTCCCCTTCCAGAGGGCATTGGTGATTTATCCAGGTTGCATGAGCTGAACCTCTCTGGCTGCTCTGATTTGGATGAACTCCCCAATTCTCTCACCCAGCTTTCCTACCTCCTTTACCTTAACCTCCGCAGCACTTCTATCAGCTCCTTGCCTTCCAACTTTGCGCGCTGAGTCGGCTCAAGAAGCTTGACATGCATGGATGCAAGCAGCTAGAGTCTCTTCCTAACGATTTTACGTAGCTCAAGATGCTGCATAGCCTGAATATTGCAGGTTGTGACAAATTGCTTGATTCTAGAGACTCACTCGCTGGTTTGGACGAAATGTATGGTATGCAAGTGCAGACTGGGGAATACGATGACCATGCTTGGGATTAAGTGTGTGTATGCAGTTGTCCTTCCTTGAAGCAGCCAAGAGTAGGTGCGTTCTGCTCAATCAGTGGCACCATGTCTCATCAATAGCTTCTAACCATTGATACACTGTACTGATTGGACTATAGATTGATTAAGTCAACCATGATGATGTAATTATAAAAGGGCTTTGTGTAAGATTCATTCAGGCATGATTCAGTCTGGCATGATTCAGTCAGGCATGATTCAGCCTGGCATGATTCAGCCAGGCATGATTCAGCCAGCAATGATTCAGCCAAGCATGATTCGGTCTGGCATGGCTCAGCCAAGCATAACACATCCATGCATGCGGCTACGATCAGAAATTGATCGACCGTAGGATCACCTCGGGAAGGTTCGCACGCAGCTAGATTGGTAGTGGTGGGCCCTTGACCTCAATAGCAGAGTGAATGTAAAATGCTTGAGATGATTAAAACATGCAAATACAGGAAATATAAATAGTAGTACAGAGGAATATGAAGCGACCTAGCTAGCCATGTACTACAAGGGGTATATTCCCCTATTACAGCGAAACTCAACCGTACGACTCCAGACAGTTATGAAACTGTCGCGTCTGAATCCTCGCCGCTGCTGCTGCCAGGTGCTGTCTGCCCGACGGTCCAAATCCTCTTCGTAACCGTACGGCCCTTCGCATCACTTCCGTCTTTTTGTCTCCAGCCTCAGTACTGCGTGCTTCAATTGCTGCGGTTAGGAGTGCACAGTAATGTTTCATTCATTACTATTCGTAACACCCCCCTTCACTCCTGGCCGTAGCTCGACTTGACCTGTTTGA